TCAAGTCAGAGTGTTTTGAAATTTCTCCCTTAATTCACATAGTGCTCAGACTACAACAAAGGCTAAGTGTTAGCTGCCTAAGTCATCGGTCTGCTTCGCTCCCATAATGTTTACCATAGGATCCCTGGAGGCGTCAGTCAGACACTCTTCTCACCTCAAGGCCTTTGTACTTGGATCCCTTCTGCCAAAGATACTCCAGATATCCGCATGACCTGCCACAGGCATAGTAATTATCTGTGAAAACGTCTCCTCCCAGTGAACTTCCTTCCCTGCCCACATCTGACTGCTTCACCTTGGCTAGTCCCTAGCTCCCCTTCCCAGCTTATTTTTCTGCATACTTCCTGTCACTTTGTATCCTGCTAAATAATTTGCCTATGTATAGTCTGGCTTTCCCCACCAGAACTTCCACTGCATTATGCTTAGGACTTTTGTCTCTCCTCTTGGTGGCCATATCCACTAGTGATATAAGGCATTCACGGACTATGGTTATTAACTATTAAAGGCTGACTATCACACAGGCAGTACAATTATTCTGCACCCCTTACACCCATGCAAAAGACTGTGAGAACTTGAATGGAGTGAAAATACATCTGGGGAGCCCCGGGAGTCCATTCAAACACAACACATCCACAAAGTTAAACAACCGATGGTGTGTTATAGGCCAAAATAAATGCCTTTGAAAATCTTCACTGAAGCTGACAATGCTCCCTCACCTGATGTGCAGATCTGCAGGGGCAGATGTTCAGGACAGGCCGTCTCTGGCCATTGATTTAAGAATGAAAAGTGCCCCCGTGGATGGCATCAAGTAGTCTGAAGTCCTGAGGATTTTACGGCTCATGCCAATGCACCCAGAGGGCTGTGTTAACAGAAGGCCGCCTGGCTCCAGAGTGACAGTGATGGTGCTACCTGTCGGTGGTCGTGAACCTCAAAGCCCACCACTTGCCTGTAAAAGACCACGACAGCACAAACACCAGGACATGGCTTCAGCAAACTCACCCCTGTGGGCTGATCTTGCCCAGCAGAAGCTAACACTAAGAGCAAAGTGGTCTTGGGTCCTGCAGGAACCACCCACCCATCCTGCAACTGATAACAGCAGGAAAGACCTGGACAGTCTGGTCCCAGAATCTGTGGCACCTCTGTGTGCTGCCCCGAAGGGGGATGGCAGACGTCTTAGGAGCGTCAGTCATGCTGACTCAACAGCCAGGACACCTCGGGCTGAGATGCGCTGCACTGTGACGTTAAGTAAATTAACTTGTAAAGGTACAAAAATATGGATTTATCCAGTCATTTATCAGAAAATTCTAATAAAGAACCATTCTATCCAATAAATTAAGGTAACAGAAAAATCTAAAAGGAGATTTTCAGGTTTTCCTTGTCGATGAGAACACGTACAATTTTGGAGATAAAAAAATGATTACTACTAATGAAAGTTATTGAAAATAAAATATTAATAAAAGTAAAGAAGGGTTCTATCATTTTTTGATCCGCAGGCTTTTGTTCCTGAATAGTGAGATTTCCCCCGCAGGTCTGATGAGGTCTGAGATTGATAAAAAAAGTAAGCTTTGCACTTGGTTGTGCTCCCGATGTTCTCACACTTCGGGCAGTCGCTCAGGCTCGCAGCCTCTGGCCTCTGGCCTGGTGAGTGTGTTTAAAAGCTGTGTCCACAGAGCTGTGCCCGCACACCCGCGAAGTCTGAGAAACGCAACGCGGCCTGTTCGCCCCGCCCTCTCGCTTGCTCGGCTTCATAGTGCTTAGCACCCTGTGAACAACATTTGCTAATTTGTTTATTTCTTGTCTGTTCCTATATAGAGGAAATACATTCACGGGAGACTGAGACTTCCTCTGACCTAGAAAATGCCTGGCCCCTAGTGGGGTCCCAGGACATGTTTGTGAGTAGCTGAACACTTTGCCCTTATTGATTGTTCCAGTACCTTATGCTCTTCTCTTCCCAGGAGCCTTCCAAGCAAGCAGCATACAGAGATAGTGCTACACAGGTTCATAAATGTCCCCAGCACAGTCTCAGCCCTTAGTGAAGATGACAGAATAGAAAATTATCATATTACTATGAAGGTGAAACTGTTCATTTCTGAAAATTTTTATGGCTGCGTTCTCACTGTGAAGGTCATAATGAAAAGCTGTTTGTAGTGCAAAATGTACGTAATTGTCACATTACACAAAATTTGAAATGATGGAACATCCTGACCTCTGTAATTACGTACTGATTGTTCAGGAAAAAGATTAATATACATAAGTGGGTAAGAAACCAAAACGTGAACTCGAAGAAAATCTCTTTAGTAATAGTAGACCCAAACGAGCTCCTGTGAATGCTAACGCTTAAAGCTCAGCCCTTATCGAAAGCATTCTTCGGATAGAATGGTTATTACAATCTTGCCAACCTTAAGGAATCCCTGAAAATTACCTCTCAGCTGCTCAGGTACCAAGGCCACCGGTGCTGTCTGTCTCCCCGGCCAGTGCCTGAGGGGGCGGGAATCATGGAAGCAAAACAGCAGTGCTGCTTTTGTGGCCATAAAACTTAATTATTTTTAATTCCACATGATCTTGTCATTTTGGCCAATCTGTTTGTCTTCACTCTACCAGTGCTTCTCAGGGCCCACGTGTGAGTTTTCAGACTTGCACAGTGACTAAGATAGAAAGGCTGGTGCTGGCTGAGCTGACAGAGACAGAGACAGAGACGCGCTGTGCACGGCACAGAGTGCGAGGTTTGCGGCGGGATGAATGCAGCAGCTCCTCACCCTAACCTGGACTGGCAGCCCTTCCTCCTCTTTCTCCCTTCCAGGTTATCACCACAAGTGAGCAGCATCTCCGTTCCACCACGACGCATCTTAATGGACACACGCCACCTCCACACAGGGGCTGCAGGCACTGTGCACCGCAAGTGGACACAGAAGAAAAAGGAAAGGAGGCGGGAGGGAGAAGGGAAGGAAGCAAGGGAGAGGGATAGAATGCCTCCTGCGTCTAACATTTCTTCCTTCAGGAAGAGGCGCTCTAAACTGTGATGTGGCAGGAACCGAACTACATCATTTGAAACCCTGCTCTGATGCAGAACACACAGGGCTGTTGGGTGGACAGCAGGGCTTCCTGGGGCCGAACCTGCGGTGCTTTCCCACAGGAAGACCCTGTGTGGACAGGCTGGAAAGAGGACGAAACTCCCCCAGCCCGGGCGGCTGGGTCCTCGGTCTGCGCCCTGGGGATGAAGGGCGCAGGGCGAGGCGGGGCGGGCACTCCCGCAGCTCACAGGTGCGCAGGGCGGGTGCCGAGGGAGCCCCAGAGCACACACCTGCGCTCAGCCCTCGGTTAGCTGCCGCCTCTTGATGTGTGGACGACATCAACATTTGACACAAGGCAAAGGAAGCAAGCAAGGAGTGGACTTATTGCATGTGACCCAGCAAACGCTGTACCAGTTCTTCTGGAGCGGGCGCAGAGGAACAAGACGCTAGAGACGTACACAAGATTCGCAGCCTTTGCTGGGTGCACCGTGAGGCTGAATTATTCATCGATATGACCTGTTACTGTGAAATGATTAATTTATCACGTTGGGTTCGACATTTAAATTTGACTCTTGTACGAAAGTTTGATTATGAGGAGCAGTAATCACAGTGACAACTGACACCCCCCCCCCCATAAATAAAGCAGTTTTAAAATCCCACAAAATTCAGCAAAGCCCCTTTGGGCACCCAGTGACCTTCAAGGGTCCATGTGGTTTCTTCTCTTCCATTTTATTCCAGCAACTTAAAATCGCGTGCTCAGATTCAGTCAGCGGCCAGCAGAGGCCTCACTCTACTCCGACTGGTGGGGGTGGCAGGGTTGTCCCCCACGAGCGGCCCAAACCGACGGGCAGACCCGGCTGGAGCCCCGCAGTGTGGGAGGCAGAAACAAGGGGCTTCCGGAGCGACCCTCACTGGCGGGGCACTCACAGTGCGTTTCCCGGAGCAGCCCCTGCGGTGGGGCTTCACGTGCATGTTTGGTTGTTTTCACACATATCGATTTATTTTTGTGATGTTTACTTTATTCCAGTAACCTAATAGTTCACTCTCTTACTTGCTTCAAATCTTTGTTTTGAACCTTTCTGTATCCTTTTTCATTGTTTTGATTTTTAATAATTTTTCCTGGGTTTTTTAAGGTAAACTTTGTATATAAACACACAGATCTTACACATGAAATCTGCTGATTTGTACAAAGGCTACACACTGAGGCCCAAATCTATACCATGACAGAAAGCACCGCCTGGTGCCCTTGGAAACTTCTCCAACCCCTCAGGAAGCCCTGCTGGCCACTGCTCACAGGCAACTCCTCTGACTTGTTTCTTTACTACCCATTACTTTTTCTGTTCTAAAATTCTTGAATAGAATAGGACCCGGCTAAAACATCTTTCCAGTTTTATATTGCCATGGGCAGTATTTGTGAGTTCATATTGTTCACATGATCCTGATATTTGATACTGCAGTTTTTATTGCATTTTCGCTATCCCAGTCAGCACAGAGGAGGATTTCATTGTAATATCAACGTGTGTTTCACATACTGCTAATTGTGCCAGCATTTTTCATGTTCTCTTGGGCCATTTGTGTATCTTCCTTTGTGTCTCTCTGCTTTTCCCTTTTTATTTGTTTTCATTGGGGGGGGCTACCGGGGATCGAACTCAGGACCTTGTGCTCCCGAGGCAGGCAGCAGAACCACTGAGCTACATCTCCAGCCCTGCTTGCCCCCTTTTAAATGTACTTGTTTTATTTTTTTTGATTTGTCTCAGTCATGTACACATTTTTTTTTCTAGCCTTAAAATTTTTCTCAGATACAAATAGTGTGAAACTTTCATAACTTGCTTTCCATAAGTAGAATTTTGTTTTAATTTTGCTGATATCAATTTAAAAATATTTGTGGACGTTATTTTCTGTGTCCATATGCATTTCTGAATAAAATAAAGACAATAAGCAGAAGCAGCGTTTAGATGCCCAGTGAGCAGTGTGACGTACTCATGCACTTACCCTGGTAGGTCAGCTTGAGTCGGGGCACATCCTGCTTCGAAGTCCCCAAAGCGGGGAGGACCAGCACCGCGGTGCTCAGCAGCAGCACGACAGGGAGGAGGCGCGCACCTGGCCTCCCCTTCTGCCTCCCGACCTCAGCGATGTTCATGATGAAGCAAAGTTCTTTCAAACTGCGTCAAGGGGCTCTAAAAATTAAAGAAACAACTATTCAGACCCATTTTCACAGATTGCTTTAGACTTAATATAATTTTCTGATTGTATTTACTTTTTGAAGACAATTCCTTGTCTTGTTTTGCTCTTAAGGACTTGTAGCAGAGAAACCGAATGATAAAATTCAGGGCTGCTTTTACTCGGCTGTAGAAAAGACCACACCACCAGAAATTTGGTTATTTTCTCCATGAACCTCTCTCTCACTCGCCAGAGCCATTTACATCTCCTGTGTGCTTCAGTGCAGACCCCCAGGAGGAGAGGAGCAGCTCAGCGCTCCTGGGAGTGCAGGGTCGCCCTGGTGCACAGCCGCGTCCACATCATCCCGGGAGCAGACCCCCGACACACGCAGACAAGGCTGTTGGGTTGCAGGGTTCTGCACGCCTCGCAGGACACGGGAGAGTCCCCCTAGCTGGGACGGCGTCAGATGGGCCAGGTCCGCCCGAGCAGAGCAGAGCAGCCTCATCGGGACCGCTTCCTCCGCTGGTCCAGCCAGGCGGCCCTGGGCAGAAGCATGAAGTGCGAAGTGCGAAGGTCTGCAGAGGGAGGGGTTCGGCAGACAAGTGGATCTGGTGGCTTTTAAGACATGAAGAAAATCAAAACACTTGTTTCAAACCGAGCCTGATGCTAAGAATTGTGACTAGTATTTGAGCATATGTATCCACTTGCTTTCGTTGTTTTGAGACAGGGTCTTGCTATGTAGTGCAGGCTGGCCTTGACCTGAACCACGGAGCCCAGGCTGGCTCAGAATTGTGGCAATCCTCCTGCCTTGGCGACCCGAGTGCCTCCGGGCCTGGCTTTCTGTTCCAGACGTTTTGGCTTTGCAGCGCCTTCCTGGGGTGGTTCATGGTCCCGCCAACCTGAAGAAGAAGTGCCTGCTGGCTCAGGCAGCACAGCCCTGCCTGTGTCTGGGTGGGGGCCTCGCGGGTCACAGGCTGAAGGCAGGAGGCCCACACCATCCGGCAGGCTGGGAGCCAGGATGGAGTAAGGGGTGGAAGGAGGAGGAGGACGAGGTCTGCTGCTCGCGTGCTCACGCCAGGACGTTCAGTCTGGGGTGCAGACAGCAGGGCTCTGCCACGCGGGTCCGGGCTCTGCCTCCTCCGGGACGCAGGCCTGCCCGTCAGTCAGCCAGCCCTCTGCACCGCATCCGTGCACACGGCAAGCGGCCCGCACACGGGGTCGCGGGCGCCACCTCACAGACGGGGCAGCCCAGCCCGAGGTGACCGGTGCCCAGGCCACACGCGAGTGAGCGAGGACGGACGCTCCGCGAGGCCCACGCTGACCCCTCGTCACACCTCGGGGCCCGGACCGCTGCTCCCGATGGAGTCTCCACTCCTCTGCCTTCTCCGGGGTGTCTTCTGGCCCTTTAGGAAACGCCCCCAGAGTGCTGCCGGGAGGGGCCCTGTGTGGACGGCACTGAAGTCCACAGGCTGTCCTTCCTTAGCGACAGGTTTAGCCATAATACGCATGTGAGTGACTGCAGAACCGTCTAACACTGAAAGTGTTCATATACCTGAGCACTGTAGGAAGCCCTACGGACGATGAGGTTTTCTAGGAGATAGCAACTCTCCACGTAACTAAAATCCCACAAGTTTTGAATGTCAAAGTCCCAGTCGCCTATCTTGACTATCAGAAGTTAAAATCAATCTGGGAAAGTAAAATAAGATCAAATTTTGAGGTATATTAATTTATGCTTATGAATGAGAATCATTTAAAGATTGACTTGAATTTTGTGTTGTTTCCTCATGAAATGTTGAACACAAATGCTTTTCTCCATTACTTGTATTTTATTCAAAGATACAGAAATTATCAAATTATTATTTGTGCATAATGTGTGACTATTTAGTTTTTCTGTAGACCATTGCACAGGAATAATCAAGTCAATTTAGATATCGTTTTAAGGATATTTTATTAAATATGCCATGTAGTGCATATTTTATTCACATAAGACATTTCTTGAAGGTTTCACCAAATAGGTATAATTTCAGAGACAAGAAAGCCCTTTGACTAAACATATTCACACAGGGCCAGGGATTTAGCTCAGTGGTGCCACGCCTGCCTTGTAGCGCAAGGTCCTGAGTTCAATCCCCAGTACCAGGAAAAAAAAATTCATATAATCAGCTTCCCTTCCTAAGCATTTTGCTTTCTCAAATGTTATTCATATTTTAATATGTTACAAAGTCCTTTTATAAATAAACATGTTTGAAATAAGCTTGAGGAAATAACTGTATTATTTTAAAAGTCACAGGAAAATGTGTTTGAGCTATTGTCACAAAACAGTTTTCCTGACCTACAGACAGAATATTATTGGATTAGACTTATGTTTTGAATCAGCCTCTTAGGAAAGACATCCTGTCAACTTCGAAGCAGCTGGGAGCCCATGTCGGCAGCGCTCAGTGCTCACACCCCGTGTGGAGCTGGCACGCCTGCAGGACAAAGCTGAGGCTCCTTCCTCCCGTTCCCCTCCTCCCTCCAGCCCCTAGATTTGAGAAAGATCCAGCCCCCTCTACACCACTAAAAATGGATGCAGTTTCTGACTTACAGATTTTCCTTGAAAAGCTTGCTGCTTTCAGGCAATTATCATCACACGATTGCCTATCTAAATAACACGTGACATTCGCACACATTCATATTTAACGTGTATTCCATACACATTCTCATCAGCTGTTAACACTGTGGGTCATCCGCAACCATTTATGCAGGTGAAGAAAACAGGAAGACTCATTTCTGAAGGAGGGCATGATTATATACAAAGGATTAAGGTACAGAGAATGCTTCACTTGGGGTATTCATGAGATGCTGGGTGAAACAGCTTAAAAGACTATCATGTAGGTTCAGTTGTGTGTGGGACGGAGAAAAGAGAGCAGAGCATGAGAAGAGAGCTCTGGAGCAGCGAGGCCTGGCTGAGGTCCCAAGGGTCCAGGCAAAGGCCCCGGGTGACAGGGTTGAGCAGACGGCGGGGAGGGGAGGGGATGGCGAGAACAGGGTAATCCCTGGGCTGAGGAGGGTGTCAGGGAGGAAGCAGGCGGACTCTGAAACCTGCCTCTGTCTGTTCCGGGGACTCAAATCAAGGCCTCAGCTTTGTCTTGCTCTTGGAGTCCATCTTGCATTGGGCCCTTCTCCTGTCTCATACCCCCGACCTCTCTCTTCCCCTGTAAGAAAGTGTTATTCTAACATGGGTATCTGATTTCTGCAGACACACAGCCTCAACATACAAACACATATTCTGCTCCTACCCACAACCTTTAGAAATAGGACAAGGTACAGTGGACCCTTGACTTACGAACTCAGTTCATTCCCAAGGGCTGGTTGTAACTCAGGTTGGTCAATGAAGGCCCCAGCTCCTCTACACAGCCTTCAAAGTCTCTCTCCTGTACACAGGCAGATCTCAGTGTCCTTAGAGAGACACCGGCCAGGATTTCTCAGTGAGCCCCACACAGGAAAGGATGCTGTCATGTTCCTTCCAGGACTCTCTAAGGGTTAAGTCTGTATCTGAGACCATCTGGAAGCAAAAGCAGCCGGCACATTCAGGTCCTAACTCAAGACTTTGGTCACAAATTAAAACTAAAAGTCCAGTCAAACCCAACTTGTTCGTATGTCAGGCTGGTCATAACTCCAGGGTCCAGTGTAAATTGAATGGTGAGACTGAGCTCATCACATTTCTTTTAGGCTTAGTTTTATTTTTCCATAACATATAGCACAAAGCATGTCAAGTGAATGCATGTTTATGTACACAGGCAAGAAAGAGGGAACTGTCCATATGTGCATTTTATTAGCAACAATGACCTCAGTACAGGACATTTCCTGGAAATTAATGACGAGTCAGAGTTAATGGCCCTTGGCTATGTGCAGAGATGTCTACTCCTCCAATGGTCATTAATCGCCAAGACAGGCCCTGTGCCTCTAACATCGTGACTTAGAAAGACTGCTTTGGTTTTCGGTGAACAGTAGCCATACTGTTCCTTTAACCTAACTCATTAATATTGTTCAATGAGCTAAAAACCGAAACACTACCTGCTTCTCTACTGCGACGTTTGGATAAGTGGCCACACGTGCTGAAACACATACTGAGAGGGAGGGATAAAAGAAAGTGACAACCCTGACACTGCTAGAATGTTTGAACTTTGACTATTTGTCTACTATGAAACAGTCATTTTCAACAATCTGCTGCTCCTTACTTCTTTTCCTTCCTAACAAGTCTTTGAATTCTATAATCTTTTAATTGAGATAATTTGTAGATTAAATGTTTTGCCATCAACCTCTCCACTAACATCTTGATAATTTACCTTCGTGTGTGTGTGTGTGTGTGTGTGTGTGTTATGTGCACAACATACATGTGAGTGAGTCTTGCATGGGAGGAATTAGAAAGAGAAGTAGGTGTGATTTACCCAAAGTGGGTGGATTTAGAGAATTGCATAGGTTATACTGCATGCTACTGTCTGTAACAGGCTCAACCTGGAGCCAATTAACTGCATATAATCTATTCCAGATGTTCACTTTGACAAACAGCACCCTTGGGGATCTTCAATGCAGAGCCAATAGGGAGTGCTCTGACTATGAGAGAGTTTTACACACTGCTCCACTAAATCAGAGATCCAAGGGCACAATCTAACATTCAGGCAGCCTTGTGCCACTTCCCCAAGGAATGGAAGCGTTCAGAACTTAAGAGGCAAATGAGAACTCATCAAAAAATTTGAGAAGAAATACAAAACTTTATATGTGAACTTAATTGATGCTTTATTGATTTATATCTATTTGTTCCAAAAGTCATTAAAGAAAGATGAGGTACAGTTAGTGAGGAAAAATATCTTCTATGCATGGAACAATAATTAATATATCCAATAAGTCTTCACACATAAAAACCTGGAACACTGAGATTTAAGAAGCATTCTCAGGAATGAGTGAGTGTGTGTGTGTGTGTGTGTGTGTGTGTGCGCGTATGCAGCTCAAGGAAGGGAGGACAAGAAACAATTTTTCA